CAGTAACTAGGTAACAGTTTAACGGCAACTAGATAACAGTCTAACGTAACTAGATTACACTCTTATAAGAGTGTAATCTAGTAATGATTTGAATTAGATGACTAAATCTACATCTATTTTACTTAGAAACTTTTTTTAAAAAAAAAAATCAATTTAGTCTATTTTTCCAGTATTCGCTCATATATCATTGTAAAAATTAAAAAAAAAATTATATTTGATTTGATTTGATTTAATTTGATTTGATTCAATTCAATCAAATTTAAATCGATTCAAATTAATTTGATCAAATATTTGAGTTCAATTCAATTCAATTTAATTAGATTTGAATTAATTAAATCCTTAATAAATAGTTTTTATTTTATATAATATAAATACTAAATCATCATTTATTAATTAATTTATACTTATTGATAATATTTATAAATATAGGTCATGAGGTCATAAGGTCATAAAACCTTTAAAATGAACAAATGATATGACTGGTCATGCATTTAAGTATATTTATCAATCAATCCACATTTTCCACTTCTAAAAAAAAATCTGATAAAAACTGAATAATTCCCACTGGAATTGAACTCTCGAAATATTTTCTTATGAATAAAAACTTTAATCTTTGCAGGATGCATTGCATTTATAATGTGAACTTTAATTTGACTTCCGATTCGATAATTGGGCAAACGTCAGAAATGATCGGCATTGAGTCATAAATGAAAAATCCAAAGATTTTGCTGTTAAAAAATTTTCTTTACAAAATTCCCTGTCGAGTCTTTTTACAACTTTAAATCAAAAAATGTCTGCTACTACTGTCAATCAACCTCGTTCTCAACTTTTTACTTGTTTGGCTTGTCAAGTTGCGTTCAATACTGCTGAAGTTCAAAGAACTCACTATGGAACTGATTGGCACCGATACAATTTGAAAAGAAAAGTTGCTGACTTACCGTCTGTTACCTCCGAAGTTTTTGCTCAGAAAGTTTTAGGTGAGTATTGTTGTTTTGAGATTTGACCACATTGACCAGAGATTGACGTTTAAAAAAATATTATTAAGCCCAACAGGCTCAGACTAAAGATGCTGACAGAAAAGCTAGTTTTTCCGCGGAATGCACCGTTTGCAAGTAAATAATTTTTTTTTTGTGTTTTACTCCATCATCATATTGATTAACTTTTTATTTATATCTTATAGCAAAATTTATTATTCCGAGAATGCTTATGCGAATCATTTACAATCCAATAAACATAAAGCTGCTGAGGCAAAGGCTGTTCTGGAAGGTACGTACTTATTATGAAAAATACTAATTAAGCTTATAATTAATTCTTTTATTAATGATAATTATTATATTTATTATTTATATATAGGAACAGACACGAAAAAAGATATAATTATTCATTCAAAACCTAGTACAGAAGGAACGCTGCAAATACAGAATGAGGTAAATTATCTATATATGCCTTTAATTTAGAAATTTTATTTATAAATTCCTAAACTTTCAAATTTTAAAAAAAAAATTTTTGTAGAGTGATATTGATTCACTTATTGATAAAAAGATTGAAGTGGCAATAGCATTAGAAGAGAGTGACTGCCTGTTTTGTACACAAAGATTCGAATCTTTCGATGAAAATGTACAACATATGACAAAAATTCATAGTTTTTTCATACCGGAAATAGAGTACTTAATTGATCTTCACGGATTAATTAAATACTTGGGTGAAAAAATTTCTGTTGGAAATGTTTGTTTATACTGTAATGGACGAGGGAAAGGAATGAAAAGTCTCGAAGCTGTTAGGCGTCATATGGTATGATATACTTCCTTTTTGTTTGTATACGCAGCAAAAAATTTTGTTTAAAAGTGCTCAAAAAAATGGATCGTTTTTTAGATCGATAAAGGTCATTGTAAGATAGCTTATGAAACTGATGAAGATATTATGGAACTTGTCGATTATTATGATTTTACTACTAGTTATCCTGATGATGATGGTGATGAAAATTGGGTAGTGGTTGATGACGACGACGACGAAGAAGAGGAAGAACTACTTCCTCAAAGGTAAATATATTCGCAACCCCAAAATAATAAATATTTTTATATTAATTTTTAAAATGTTCTTTAGTAGTATGGTATATGAAGAAGATATGGAACTAGTGTTGCCATGTGGTAAAAGACTTGGTCATCGAACTTTGCGGAGGTATTATAAGCAAAACTTGCGTCCTATTGAGGTAACTTTTAACAAATATAATTCATTTCTTTTTTCTTAAAAATCTTCTCATATTGTCCATTGTTTGTTTTAATAGGAACGAGATGCTTCAATTATAAGTCGTCTTATCACGGAATATAGTAGTAATTCAGAATATACAAGTCATTCTGGGAGACTTTTGATCACGAGAGACCAAGTATATAAAAATTATCAAACTCGGTTTGTCTCCTTACGTGAGAAACAATACCAACAAAATTATGATTCTCGTATTGGTATGAAAGCCAATAAATTACAGCGCTATTTTAGAGCACAAATTTTGTAAGACAAAAGATCCTGTGGTTGTTTTGGCGTTATTATAAAATGAAATGATTTTAAAATAACAACTCGATAATTTAGTTAAATTAATTGGATTTCATAAAACCTTTTGTTTTATTATGAACGAAATGAATTCATGAATAAATAATAAATTAATTTGATTTTTTACTAATTAATTCACGTAAATATGTTGAACTAAGCTTGAGATTTTTTAATTCATCTTCTGAAAGAGAAGGATTTGAAGAAGAAATAACCTCAATTATTGACAGGTGCAGAGGTTGAAATCCTTTCTTTTCGCGTTCTTTGTTAACTATATGAAAAAAGAAGAGAATATTTGAGAATATTTGTCTTTACTTGATTTATTAAATTAAAAAGCTTTAGTTAGACGTACTGGAATGGGCCCCATTCATAGTTTCTTTGGATATAACTATGGCTTTAATCTCAGCATCCGTTGTTGTTGGACCATATGCATCATAAATTGGAATTACCTAAATTAATCAACAAAAGGATTAGAATTAAGAATTGTTTAAATTATTTAATCAATCTCGAGTACAACCTCATAAATCAATCCCCGACGAATTGATTCCAAGAATTGTTTGACTTTTGCAATACGCGTATCTATTGATTCTAAAAGATCTTTAAATTTTTTATTCTCAAGCATAGTATCATCTAAGTTATTAAAAAAAAAAAAAAAAAAATTTCATGTATATAGATTGTGTAAAATAATAAGAAAAACATTGATCAAAATAACTTACCAGTAACACCACAAATTAACCTTTTTCCAGTTATCCACGCTGTCATTGTTAAAAGAACTTTATGCCCAGAATGTAAATGATCGAATGTTCCACCGACAGCAACATGATCAAATGTCTTTGGATTGCTAGGCTGTAAGGGAATTTTATTTGAATCGATCAAATCGAATGAGGGTGGAGGTATTTTTGATTCGATAATATGTATTGGTAAGTTTGACAATAAAGAATTCTTGCGAGTTTCGTTGAATTGTTGTAAACGCACATTTTCTATTATTATGTACAAATGACAAATTTGAAGAAAAAAAAAATCGAAAGTTGTTTGCGAAATAATAAGAAAAAAATTATACCAGTTATGTGTCCAAATAAAACATTAAAATGCCTATCATTCGACACTTCAACTTGATATCCACACCACTTATCAAATATTATATCAATATCAAGGAAGGGTTTATCAGTTTCATAAGCTACTTTTGTTCCGAAGACATATAACGCACTTAATAAGTTATGAACTCGAGTCCAACCGGATAAAGGGTCGTTTGCGTAATGATTTATTTCAGAACAAGATATAAGTATTGTTAATAAACTTGAGACTCGGTTAACTGAAGCTTTAATCAAGTCCTTATGATAATCCGTTATTGTGGAAAGTGTAGGTAATGAAATGTGAAGTAATGCGGAATCATATAAATTTTTTGACATTTTTAAATGTTTGAGAGAAGGGAATGGGAATTTTTTTTTTTTTTTTGAATAAGTACTAACTTTAAACGCGTATAATTGAGGTTCCTCTTATATGTCACCTGATCGGCAGACGTGCTGAATTAAAAATGTTTTTAGTAATTAATAATTAGTTATTGATTAAAATAACTAAACCTACATGCTTAAAATTATTAATTTTTACTAAGAAATTATTTAATGTAATCAAGTTTTGCTAGATGACATTTAGAAGTTTTCTAAAAAAGTAAAAAGGCAAAACTTAGCAAATTATATATTATAAATAGTATAAATATTTTTGTAGTTTATTTGCAATAACGAAAGAAAGGCAGTAGTGAAAGGAATAAACACATCAAAAGATAAAGAATTCGACATGTCATTACCCTATATATACTTACCAACTTGACATCATATCTAGATATTACATTATTTAATATTTATGAGAAAATAGCATAATAAATTATAAATCTGAATCAAGATAATAAATTTGACTTGCAGATTAGACCAGTTGCCCTTCAAACCTTGGAAGGCTCTGCTCAATAATATATTTCATCGTAGTTATATTTGTTAGCAGGATTCCGTACCATAATTCCCTTCTTTTGATTGAGACGGTATTTGCAACTGGCTGTTTTTAAGAGTTTACTTATTAGAATATTATTATCCGATTGTTATCATCAATAGCATTCAACTAATTTTGGTTTGATTCATCATAACTATTGATATTTATTTAAGCTTTGTTTGACCTGTTAAAGCATATGTGCGGAAAGAAGGCTCATTTGTTCAGATTGATTACTTTGCATAAGTTCTCGGAACGACGAAAAACGATTGGAATCGATACGTTCACGGAATTGCATGTATTTAACTAAATATTCTGCTTCGACTTTCTCAATCTCCCTATCATAATCCCAATAAGGATCTTTCTTTAATGTGAGCGGAATGTCGGAAATGTAAATTAATTTTTTAAATTCACACATTCTCTTTGTTTTTTCATTGTCTTTAAAATCTTCCCCTTTAGGATTCTTGACCTTGGGTTCTTTTTTAATCTCATGCGGAACGTATCTTTTGATTCCTTTAGAAAGTTCTATTCTGCGCTGTTCCGCCGCACGTGCATCCTCTTTATTTTGCTTTTTGTTTCTAGCATTAATACGCGCCCAAACGTCCTCTGTTGGATCACGCTCGGTGAGCTCTTTACTAATCTCTTGTATCCTTGTATCTAATTCTTTAGCTTCCTTAATATCTCCTCTAACTTCTGCAAAATATTTGAGAGTTGTTAAATTTGATTTCTCAATCGTCAACTCCTTCTTTTCGCCACGTAGGGCTTTCTTTTGTTGGACAATATTTTCAACATCTTTTTCAGTGAGGATATATTCTTTAGCGGTATTTAACGCTTCTTGTTTACGAGAAATATGATCCTTCGATGGTAATTCCAAATTATGGTACTTCATAGTAATTAACCATCGCTCAAATTCTGACTAAAATTATTGTAATATTATTGAAACAAACGTTGATATATTTTAAACAAATTAAAAAAGAAAAATACTTACTTGATCAACATATTGATTCGATACAATATCCATAGGCCAACATTTAGTAGCGTCAGCGTGTCTAAGTCTAAGAACTTTATTTGTAATAGTCTTGTCAACATAGTACTTATTTTCTGTAGTTTCAACGCCTTCAATTTCACACAAACGATATACTTGTTTGTCTTCCCTATCTCCGATATGTAACCGAACAAAACATCCTACTACAGCATCGGCCAAAAATGGAGCGAACATCCAATTGACAAGCATATGTCGAGATACTTGGATAGTTCTCAATTCTTGTAATGTAACGTCCTGAAGTTTATAATATTAAGTGAAAAAATAATATATTAAATAATAAAGTTTCGATTCTGAAATAATTAATTTTTAAAAATCAAATAAATCTTTACTTCTTGAGTATCATTGCTATCCTTTTCACCTTCATATTCATCATTTGATGATGAGACATGTTCTCCAAGTTCGGGACTTTGAGAACCCGATTTAGTTTTCTGTTCCTTTTCAGCACGTCGACGTTTGAGTTCACTAAACGACTTTTTACTTGAATTTTTTGCACGCGAGGATCTTTTAGATTTATCGTCTAATGGATCAAATAATTGTTGAACGGCGTGAAGATCCAAGTGGTGTTGTTTCTTTTCTGCTCTGTCCGCCAAGATCCTTTCTCTTGCAAGTTCATTTAGGGTGCCCAATCTTTCTCTATCACTTCTATCACGATACAAATCTGGACCATATTCAGGAGAACCTCTTCGGCGTTTGTCTTTACCAGCTTCACCTTCAGGAGAAGGAGATCTCGAACTTCTATTCTTTCTTTTTTGTCCAGAAACTCGTCTATTCTCTTCGCTAGATCCAGAATGTGACCCTTCAGGTTCAGAAGCTTGTTCAGAACGTTTTGAGTTTTCGCTAACGTCACCAGCGAGTGCAAGAATTTCGTCTTCTAGGTCAGACATTCCTACTAACTATGTCAAATTTTGTGTAATTTTTATTCGTATAAATAGAAATTTGGGATCACGTGTAACAATAAGTTTATTAATCAGCCAATAAAATTAACATAAGTTTTACTACAAATTTGAAATTATTACTAATATTATCTTACTTAAGCATTAAATTAACATTAAAGATTTTAAAACCCTACTATTAAAAAAATCATTACATTTACATTGAATTTATTGAAGAAAAATTTTCTATATTATATGTCTAAACTAGATCTTAGCATAATAAACATTTATTTTGAAATATCATAGTCTTCGTAATGCCAGTTTGTATCGTTTCAAAAATGCAACTAGCCAACGATGAGACATTTTAAAATCCTTTGATGCA